GAAACTCTTTCTTAAATTGCACATAGATTTCTCACATCCTCCTATTCCAAATCCGTAGCAACAACACTAACCATGAAATAAAACAAAATAGCAACTGAGAAATGGTAAAAAAAAAAAACCAAAAACACAGAATGATTGAAAAAGAATTCTGCGGCTTCAAACTTTTCATTTCAACGGTTCATTTATCCATATTACATATCTTCACTAGTATATCTAAAAATAAGATACAATTAAAACAGGGAAAAAAATACAAGATTATATTAATAATCTTAAGCTGTTATTAGTAAATTACCATCGTGCCGTAGGTAAGAGAGAGGATGCAAAACGCCGCCTGGAAACCCTAAATTGCTGCTGTTATTTATTTATAGGCGAATTTCTTAACATAAGGCCCTTTCGCCTTGTTTCGATTTTGCACCATATTTTTATTAGTTGAATTATATTTTAATTAGATCTTCAATATTCGCTCCCAGCAATACTTATATTTCTAGCTTTTTTTCTATGAATTCTATCTTTAGTCATTCAATAATTAGCATATCTTATATTTGATAATAGTTTTTATCTAAATATTTTGTTTCCATACTTTGGAATGAGGGTAAATTTCTCGTACTTCTGTATTTATTGTCTTTTAAAATATGATGAGCAAATAAGTTATTTTACGTAGGGCTGGACAAAACTCTCGAATCGAACCGGATCGAACCGAACCCGAATCGAGCAGTTCTTCATAAATTAAAAACCCGAACGGGTATCTAAATCGAGAACTGATGGGTTCAATTTGGTTATCGATTCTAGACCCAAAATCGAATAATCGAATAATAACCGAATTTAAATAATTTTTGATATTGAATTAATTAAATTTTTTCTAAACAAATTAGCAAATTAACTAATTTAATAATTGATGTTCTAACTCTCAAGCCAAGTCCAAACCTAGCTAGCCCAGCCCAATCCAATTTCTAAATTCAACGTTTTAATTTAATTTGTTGGTTCTATTAATAATTTCATTCTTATCCAAAGATCTAGACTTTTTTAAGTTTTTATCATTTTCTTTCCAATTTCACACTTTCATTCGGTAACCGCTAAGCCATTAACCCCAAATCATTTGATAAATTGAAAACCTGCATCTACATGCCCAAATCGAAACTACTGATTGCCGAGTCTGACTTCCCCTCTCCAACTGTCCATCGAAGTCGCGACCTCCAACCGCGACCATTGATCGTTGACCTTTAGAATTTGTTAAAAAATTTAATTATGATACGAAACCAAATAGATACGAACCAAACCCGAATGATTTCATAATTATATTTGGACTCGACAGTTCCATTTATTAAATACCCGAAATTTTGGTTTGGTTCGGTTCGATTTGATTCTGAAGAGAATCGAACCGATCCGAATCAGACCATGTCCAGCCCTAATTTTACGTCATCCCAACACACTTTTGGGACGAAGATATTTGTTGAAAACGAGATTTGCTAATTGATGGAAGGCTGGAGACGTCTAAAAATTTAGGGACGTAAGCGTTATAATTTAAAAAAAAATTGAAGTTCTTATGTGAAATTAAAATGTCGTATATACAACAAATAAAAAGTGGTATAAATATAAGGGAAAATTGCAGCAGCAGTCCCAAACCTTTAGAGTTTTAGTAAACTTTACCTTAACCATTAGTTTGTACTACCAGAGATCTCAAACCTTTCAAAAATATGCAAAGGAGGTCCAAATGGATGGATTTCATCCATTTGACTGTTAGTTAACTAGATTTAACAAAACTAAAGTCTGAAAAAAAGGAAAACATGAGAGATTGTTCATCATCTTCCTTCCTTCCTTCCTTCCTCCCCCTCCCCCTCCATCCCACCCTACCCTACCCTTCCCTACCCCACCAAACCCAAACCGGATCAACGACGTCATCTCCTTCCACAACCCCTTGCAATCGTCATCGGTTGCAATTAAAAGGTGTTGCTGAATTGAGACTATTAGCAAAAAATCGAGCTACTATATTATTTCTTATCAGACTAGGATTTCAGCCCTTCAAAATTATTGGCTTGGGCTGACACCATTTAGGTGAAATACTTTTATATAATTTCACTTTTCGTTAGTCTCTTTTCTTGCTTTGATATCAACCACAAGGCTTTGGATTTGTCCAGTATGTAGATTGTGTTGATGCTTTGGAAGCTAAACATCAGATGGATGGCGAAATATGGAAGGGGTAGATCTCGCAGCTAACTGTAGAAGTCGCACTTATGATCGAAGGCAGTCACTGTCGCAGTACTCGCGTTCTCCTCGATACTCTCAATCACCACCTCCGCAATATGGAAGGGGTAGATTTCGCAGCCAACTACCGACGATTGCAAGGGGTTGTAAGGAGAAGACGGCGTTGTGGAATGGTATGACGGCGTTGATTGCAAAGGGTTGTGGAAGGAGATATGGCAACGGGACCTGTGGTAGCGGAATGGTGGTTGATTTTCCATAGGTTGGAGTGGGGTGGCATGGCATGGCATGGCGTGGTGTGGCGTGGAGTGGAGTGGGGAAGGAGATGAATAGGGGTTTTTTTTGGATTTTTAATTCATTTTTTAACTTAAGTAATATGAGAAAATGTAAATGACCATTTCGCCCTTATCAGTTTGGTCAAAATTAATTAAATTTTGACTTTTGGGGTCAACTGACGGTCAAATGGATGGAATCCATCCATTTGGACCTCCCACGCATATTTTTGAAAGGTTTGGGACCTCTGGTGGTACAAACTAAAGGTTAAGGTAAAGTCTGCTAAAATTCAAAATGGTTGGGACTGCCGCTGTAATTTTCCTTAAATATAAGTATGTTGTTCCTTTTGATTGTTATGACAGTTGTTGTCCCTAGTGATGGTTTAATTTTCTCTAACGAAATTTTTGAATGAAAATCATAGTCAGGATTAAGATATATTCTCTATCGTGCTTTGCCATCGAAGCTCGACGAAACCTATGTGGCATCCCACGTGGAGCTTTATGGCCCACAACCAACATCACCAACATCTGACCAAGTCAAAGATAAAATAGAGCTTAGGACAAAATCGACTGAAGCTCACCACCGAAACAGTAACGATTCAGAGGCTTAATCCGGAACTTACGCTTAGAGTCAACTGACCCACTCCCTTCAAGGATCTCCTGCAAATAAAATCTTATTCGAATGATTGATGTGATATTTATAATGAGAAATATGTCAAATTTCATCAGCACGGGAAGTAGGAGTGGCTGCCTTTTTAAGAGCATTAAATGCTCCATATGCAAATGAATTTATATTGATGTCCAAGATATAAAGCTTCAACTAAAGAAATGAAGCCACATGCTTCCTCATCCAACGAATACTATTTCATTTGTAACACTATAAATACTTCATCATGTATCATTTGAAAGCTAATGCAACTATATTGTCTCTTGTTCCAGCACTCTTAAATTGTTAAGTCGAATGTTTAGCTTTGGATTTGTGTGTTTTCAATTGTTCTTTATTATGCATTCCCATTATGTATATCGTCAACGTTTGACCATTTTTATCTTGTGTTATAAAGTTTCTCCCGTGCCCATATTGAAATATTTTATCAACTAATGATCCATTCAAGCGTGTTGGAATTAGTTTGCGTGGACGCGATTGAGCCTGATATCTATTTGTCCACGCATGTATACAAAAATCGAGGTCAACACTCTCCCTTCAAGTTTATGTGTTATTTGAGAATTAAATATTTCAGTGGTCACTAAACTTATATTTCCGTCACGTTTTACTCATTAAACTTTAAAACAGCTTTGAGTCGTCACTAAACTTTGAAACATTGCATTCCATCACTCACTTATCATATTTTATAAATTACTAAACTTTAAAATGCTTCTCCATGGTCATAAACTTTAACATGTTGCACTCCATCGCTAACTTACCATGTTTCATTAGTAACTGAACGTATACCTTTATCACGCTTTACTTATTGAACTTTAAAATGATTTCGAGGTGTCATTGAACTTCATAATGTTTCTCAGTAAAGTTGATTTTTTATGAAATTCGACCAAGATAAAAAAATAAAATAAATATCGAATAAATAACGAGACTCTCAATCTAAGATGAGAATATTGATATTAGTCAAGAAGATATAATTGTTCTAGTCGTCAAAAGCTATGTTCAAGGGAGTAGAAGAAAGTTAGCTTCAAATTGACATAAATCTTTGTTAAAGAATTAAGTATCAAACCGATACCACTTTTTAGTAAATAAAAGAATGGGTATAATATGACAATATGAAAATCAAACTAGAACACAAGATTCACGGGATAAGAATGTACCACTGGAAGAAGATGAGACTTTATTAATATCAATAATGGAGAATTGCAAATTATTGTGTAGAATGTA